CCCATATTGCCAGCATTTTCTCACATTGTTTTAGTTGTTTTAAAATACTATTAATTTTAGTTGACAAATATTATCATATGAAACTATTTCACAGAGACATATATACATACCCACACGTATACATACACACATATATACATACACATTTATATGGTACAATGTTTTTTGATATATGTATACAATATGGAATAAATTGATATATATAAAAATATACATCAGTTCACATTCTTAATAAATGGGGTGGCATCAAATTAAAGAACTCCTGCCCAACAAAGGAAACAATTAGGAATGTGAAGAGAGAACATGCAGAATGGAAGAAAATCTTTGCTAAGTACTCTTCTGACAGAAGACTAATATCTAGACTATATAAAGAACTCAAAAAAACTTTACACCAAAAGTCAAATAACCCAGTTTAAAAATGAACAAATAAATTAAACAGACACTTCTCAAAAGAAGAAATACAAATGTCCAACAAATACATGAAAAATAATTCAATATCACTAGCAATTAAGGAAATGCTAATCAATACTACACTGAGATTTAATCTCACACCAGTCAGAAATGCAGTCAACAAGAATACAAATAATAATAAAAGCTGGAGGCAATGTGGGGGAAAAGGAGCACTTGTACATGATTGGTGGGACTGTAAATTAGTACAACCACTATGAAAATTAGTATGAAATTCCTTAAAAGACTAGGCATGTAACCACCATATGACCCAGCTATACAACTCCTCTATATTTATCCTAAGATATTAAAATCATCAGACTATAGTGATACATGCATACTCATTTTTATAGAAACAAAATTCACAATAGCTAAACTATAGAATCAGCCTGAGGGTACATAAATGGTTGAACAGATAAAGAAAATGCAGAGGGCTGGGGATGTGGCTCAATTGGTAGCACGCTCGCCTGGCATGCATGAGGCCCAGGTTCAAGCCTCAGCACCACATACAAAGAAAGATGTCGTGTCCGCCAATAACTAAAAAATAAATATTAAAATTCTCTCTCTCTCTCTCTCTCTCTCTCTCTCTCTCTCTCTCTCTCTCTTTCTCTCTCTCTTTAAAATAAAGAAAAGAAAATGCAGAGTATATACATAATGGAGATTTATTCAGCCATAACAAAAATGAAATTATGTCATTTTGAGGGAAACAGATGGAATTAGAGACTATCATTTTAGTTGAAATAAGTCAAACAGAATGTCAAGAATTATGTTTTTTCCCTCATATGTGGAAGCTAGCAAGATAAAAGGAGAAGAAAGGTAAGAAGTTTGGGGATTTTATTAAATTCAAAGGACATCAGTAGAAGATAGGGAGCAAGGGGTCAGAGGTGGGGAGTGAGGGGGATAGTTTTGAGGAGTGATAATAAAAAATTTATATTATTATAGCATATGCATGTTTGAATATGTAACAACAAATCCCATCATTATGTACAAATATAATGCACTAAAAATGTGAGAAAACAATTTTACTTGGCCATGGTATATTATAAATCAAAAACAAAAGGAAATATAAAATATACCCTTTAAGTTCTTAAGAGTTATACTGATCAATATTATTGACTATAGTCACTTTACTGTACAATAGATTATATGTCTTGTCTAACAGAAACTTTATACCTTTCAACCAACAACACTTTCCCATACCTGGTAACCTCCATTCTATACTTCATTTCTGTGAGTTTGACTTTTTTATTACCACTTATAAGATCATGTGTTATTCATCTTCGTCTGAATGGGCTATTTCACTTATTAACAAAATATTATCCAGGATCATTGATGTTGTCACAAATGACATGATGCAACAAGATCAATTTTGAAAATATATCTAAATAAAATGAAACTAATATATCAGAAGGATTTTTTCACTCCCATGCTCACTGTGGCGTTGTTTATGATAGCTAAGATATGGAATCCATCAATGGATTAATGAATAAAATGTGGTATATATACAGAATATATTAGTACTCAAACTTTAAAAAAGGGTCATCTGTTTGTATATTTTTGTTTTCTTAGTGGTTTCATTTGCAGTACAAAGGCTGTGGGTTGTTTTTGTTTTTCTAGTTTTAGTGAAGCACAATCTATTGTTTTCTTTTCAAACATGTGCTTTTGAAGTAACAAATTAAAAACACTATTTCCTACCCCAAAGACAAAAAGATTTTCTCTTATTCTTCATCATAAGAATGTTATAGTTTTAAAATAGGCCTATGATCTATTTTGAGTTAATTTTTGTGTATTATGTGAGGTTGCTACATCGATGTTCATAGCAGCACAATTCACAATAGCAAGACTGTGGAACCAACCTAGATGCCCTTCAATAGACGAATGGATAAAAAAAATGTGGCATTTATATACAATGGAGTATTATGCAGCACTAAGAAATGACAAAATCATAGAATTTGCAGGGAAATGGATGGCATTAGAGCAGATTACGCTAAGTGAAGCTAGCCAATCCCTAAAAAACAAATG